TCCCTACCCCTATTTTCTACCCTATTCAAGAAGAACAGAAAGAGAGAGAGAGAGAGAGAGAGAGAGAGAGAGAGAGAATGACTAGCTAGATGGGTATGAAATAGGATGAAAAAAGAGAAGGCTTCAGCCTGCAGCTAAAACAGCACTTATAATCTATCAAATCTAAGATGAACAAGGGTACTGGCCATACCTAGACACAGTCTGATTGGAAATAGAGTCTGAAGTTCAATGACTAAAAGGTCAAGAAATACATTTTTATTTTACACAGTAAAAACATTATCAAACTCACACTTGCACAATTTGTGCAAGAAATGAAATACATGTAGTTGAATTGTATCCATATATAAAGGACAATGAAATAATTATATCTGCAGGAAAAAGGATGACTCTAAAATTCATTTTGTTATGCAAAATAAACTGGACTCAGGAAACAACATTATGTTCTGTGGATTGTGGATTCTCTCTCTCTCTCTCTCTCTCTCTCTCTCTCTCTCTGTGTGTGTGTGTGTGTGTGTGTGTGTGTGTGTCTATGTAGATTATAAAAAACCCTTTAGGTTATATAATATATTTATGTATAAATATATACCATATATAAAACAAATGACAATAACTTTATGATTAATTTAAGGAACATGGGTATGAGTTCTGATGCATTGTCTCCTAAATTTGTGATCTTGGACAAACTGCTCTGCTTTTTTTCTTCTCAATTTCTTAAACTTGGAATAAAGTAGAATGATAGTACATGACCATTGTGGAATAGTAAACAAATACATCCTATTATTAGTATGTACATCCTGCTGTTATTCTCATTTTCTATTAATGAAAAGTGACACGAAGTTGTTTTCTTAAATTCTTAAATAAACACTATTATAAAAAATCTAAAGACTCTAGTTCCAATGGGGAAGAAATCTAGATTTCTAAATAAGCAGAAACTTCATTTTAGAGCCATTTTAATATTCATTTACTGTCACTTACATTAATACAGTGCACTTTTCTTAGATGAGTTTGAATCTCTACAGCAGAATTTCAGGGTTATTATCAACAGAATATTTGGAGTTCCACAGGGTTTATCTTCCTGACTGTGTTGTTTCCTCAAATTTAGAATTAAATAGTAACTTCCAGTAGCCAAGGGACAGCACCATTCTCAATGTGGACTGGGTAAGCATCTGTGACTGGATGTAGTGGAAGGAACTTATCTTCATCAGCTGATGGTCTTTGTGTTCTTAATTATAGATGTGATATATAGCAGAGTCAATACAAAAGTGAAGCAGTAATAGGGACCACTCTTTTCCCAGAATAATAAACTCCAAAGAAATTGAATCTCACCCTGCATTCTAAGTGTCTACATTCCCTATGCTGTCCAATCAAACAGCCAATACCTATGTATACCACATAAACCTTGAAAATGTACCTACATATAAGATTCTGAAGACTGTATGAAAATATAGATGAAGGTAAGGTAAAATATACCTTAATTCATTTTCTTTATTATTTATATATTAATTAAGGTGTTAATGTTTTGCATATGTTGGTTTAAATAAAATACATCATTAGAATATCTCGTTGCTTTTATGTTTTAAAATTGAAATGATAAATGTGGCTTACTATTGGATACACTGGCATGACACAGCTCTCAATCCTTCAGCTGAAAACCAGCCCCCTCTTTCCTTCATTGTGTGGAAATGGGAACCAAGAAAAATAGTTCAAAGCCTGGTACAGAACCAAGATGCTGAGCTTACTTCATTTTGACAATATTTGCTATGTGTGCTAACAAGTGAGTTGTCTTCTGACTCTTCATATTTTTAAATATTACTTAACTTGGAGTTGGGTGAGGGTACTTGGGGTGTGGGAAGCAGAAGGACAGAGGGCAGAGATAACTCACCCATTTCAGTTCTCTAGGGATCATCAGTAATGTTTACATCAGATTTCCTAAGGTGTTGAGACAGCCGGTACATATAATTTAGGCAAAGGAAAATTTTAAGGGGAATAATTATTTAAACATAATCACTTGGGCACTCACATGTTCTCCATGATTCACCAAAACTGGCCAGTAATTATAAAACACTCTTGGAAGTATTCCTGACAAAGATCTGTCTATTTGGATGTCAAGGCCACATCTTATAAGGCCGAGTGTTGAGTGGTGGCCTCCTCTTTGGTTCTGATGCCTTTTGTTCAATTTCTATTGTGAAAGACAAAAAGGAAGCAGAGTGGAGGATCCACTGCAGAGGAGTTGCTACCAATAGTCCAGGATGGGATTTTCTTTTTGAGAAAAAGTGTAATGTCTTAAACTGAACAACTGAACTGCAAGCTGTAAGCTCACTATCTATATATCCATCTATCATCCATCCATCCATTCACCCACCTGTCTGTCTAGTTAATCTTCTTTATATATGTACATATCCTAAAAGCTCTTCCAGAATCTAATTTGAGGGCAATGACTTGATATGTACTGATAAGAGCCTATTTTTACTCTCTTTCTCATTTAGTGTGATTTCATAGTATAAAACCACTGGCAAGTTGATGTGCTTGGTTCTGAGCTGCTAGTTCTAACCCTAAGGGTATCACACAGACAGTATAACAGTGCATAGAACACCTTTGAAAAGGGTTACTTTCCTCAAGCCTAAAACACTCAGTGTTTTGAAATACGTCTGACCCTGTGATTTCAGACAAGGGATTGTGAGCCAGCCTGTGGGATACCACAGCTCAGAAACTAGGCAAGTAGCAACCAAGCTCTCTACCTCCTCAGTCACTCCCCTGACTCAGCCACTGTCCCCAGACTATTCTTGTCTTGTTTTAGTACCCATCCACACAATTCCACACTAACTTGAGGGCATCTGTGCAGGCTGGAATAGTTACTAACTGTGCTTGAGACAGTACAAACAGTACATGCTGGGGCAACACATACTGCCTCTCTATGATGTTCCCAGGCTTCACAAGCCTGCAAAAGCAATAGCAGTCACATGTGTCTGCTCTCAACTCATGAGAACAGATCAAGAGTACACAGAATAGTTTTACACAGAGAGAGAAAAAAATCCCCTGAGCTATGAGACAAGGGTAATGGGATTTTCTCTTACTATGGTTATAAATTAGTTGAGAAACTATATTCTGTTCTCATCTTTCAAGACAGCTTGAAGGCTCTTAAATTCTTTCTAAGAAAATTTAAATTCATTTATATGAAAATAAAAATTTTTATAGAAATCGACAGCAAAAAGTAAATGAAAGATTAAAATAAAAAGAAAGAAAGTTTGACTCTGTCCCTTAACACTTAGACTTAGCTGGTTTTGGTGAGAATTTCTCATTTCTCCAGGAAGCTTCTCCTCAGTTCCTGAGGAGAGCTCCACTGTTCCAGAGGGAGAGCTCATACAGTCTGAAGGGCTGTTTTCTGCCCTTCAGACTGGGACTTCACTTTCCTTGGTGACAGAATAGGTAACAGCTAATCAAAGAGGTGTATTGTTTTCTTGCCCTTAAAAGGATTTTCCATTTCTCCCTATGGGCATGGGGTAAAATATGTAACTCTTTAGATTATAAAGAATTATATAGATTACAAGATACACTGACTTTATTCAAATATTGGAGTACTGCCTGTTTGCTTTTGAGCCTTATTGCTTTAGTACTCATTTGGAACTCCAGCACAGCCACCCACATAATGCAAATGGCATCATGTGTCTTTCAGAACTTGTTTATCAACATAGCATTTCATTTATACTTATCAAGTTGATTGGGAACTTTCTTTTTTCTTTTCTGTATAGGACTGTCCTAGCCATGAGTTGAAAATACAGACAAATTTATGTTGCAATCAGTTCCATCTCAAGTTCTCCAACGAAATGGACACCTACCTAAAGCTACCATTCCAGAAACAGCAGGTGGGTATGCAGAGTCACCTTGATGGTCTTTGCTGAAAGTTCTTCTGTGTTATGACAAGAGTTTTCTCATTTACTTCTGGGCCACCACTGAGGCCTGAGTTTTTCATGCTGGGCAGCCTTCTTGGATTCTCTTCACCAATGAATCTGTGAGTGACTCCAGGCAAAACTTCACCAGACACTTCCTCCCAAGACTTAGGACACTGCAGTGTGCTTCTCAGTAATGAGCTTACCATAGGGCCATTAAAAACAACAGCATGGCCCATTTTACCATAAAAGTATATTCCCGTTCTTTGTGCTTTTTTAGGGGTGAATGCAGATCAGTTCACTCCTAATTGGGTTGCCTACCTTAACCTACAGATTACCAAAGAAATGGCATTCTAGGTATTTATCCATGGTGTATGAGTTTCATGAGCTTTTTGCATGAGGTGGTAGTTTTGGTTGAAATTTTGTTTGATTTTTTTCTATCAGTTTCACTCTACCTAAATTTTTAAAAGGATAAACAAAAATCTCTTCCTTAACCCAAGCTGGCCCATATGCACATGCTGTGGGTTTTCATATGTTCCAGCAGAATTGTGTTCACTCAGCTTGAATGATTGCATTTTCAAACTCTGAGCCACTGCCCAGCAAAAGCAGTGACCCCGGAAAACCCATCTTTGCTTCTCTGGGAGGATGACTCAGAGTGGAAATAAAAATTCGCCACACATTCCTTCTTGACAAAAATCTACAGTAAGATTTCTTTTACTCATTTGTTTGTTTTATGCATAACACAGCCTGCTGCTCTAAATGATTATTTCTGGAGGATGTATTTCCCTTTTTGTTTTTGTAATGTTTCAATGGAATTTAATTCATAGCATATACCATTTACAATTTTAAAGCACTTAAATATACTCACAGTGTTGTACTATCACCATACTATGTAATTCCAGAACTTTTGTATCTTAGCACATGTGGCCTTCCTCTGGAAACCAAGGGCTTAATTTCTGTCTATATGGATTGGCCTAGTGTAGGCATTTCATATGAATAAAACCATATAACACGTAGTCAATTTTTCTTACTTTTCTGATTTCCCTCCCTCCTTCCCTCCCTCCCTCCCTCCCTCCCTCTCTCCATCCCTCCCTCCCTCCTTTTCTTCCTTCCTCCTTGGGCTTGTTATTATCTTTTTCTAAAATTATGTATTGTTTAAAACTACCACAGACACCCTAATGAGTACATCATGACTAACAATCATGCAGAGGTTTTTATATAAAGTTCCTTAATGACTAATGACATTATGCATCTTGTTGTGTCATTGTCATTTGCATGTCTTTTGAGACCTATCTATTGAAATATTTTTCTATTTTTCAGCGGTGCTGCTCAGCTTTTGAAGACTGAATGTAATAGTTCTTTCTATATTTGGAGTACTAGACCTCTTGGCTATGGCTTTAAGGTAAGTTCTCTCCATTCTGAGCACTGTTATTTTTTAAAAATTAGGTCCAAGTGCTTGGGGGACTATTTTGTAAAATTAACCTAATGTGAAATTCAGCTTTATGAAGGGAATGAATAATGAAGGTTCTCTACTGAAAATGCCATGGGATCTCATACTTGAGGTCATAGCAGCACGTCCTCTGCCACACCTGGCCTCCATGACACCGTCTGAATCTAGGGAGCTTTCAGGGATAATTTGTAATTGAAACATGACCTGCCAAAAATGTGAGTCAGTGAACGTGTAAAAGAGTCTGTAAGCTTAAATGGTTGGACCTTGGAGTCTGAGGTCACAGAGAATCAGAATTAGGACACTAAAGATTACCTTACCAGTGCCATCTCATGTCACCCTGTGAATGGAGATAGAAAAGAACAGTTTCAAAGTGCTGTTTCCTGGGCACTACCACCAGTCCTTGAGACTTAGGAAAGTCTTTGAAGTCCAGACTGTCATAATAATCTAGGATTTTGCACACGTTTTACTCTTCTCTCACACTGTACACCTTCCATGGTGTCACCATTTTAACAAATAAAGGTATATGTGCTTTTATATTCTTATGTTATATAATTTTCTCAGATTTATGATATATCTATATAAAATACACATTTGTATCTTACACATCCATCAGACACCTTTCTCTTATTAATAAACAAAAAGACATAGCTCCTAGTGACACTTGATTTTCAAGAATATAAAGATGGCCAGAGACCAAAATGTTTGAGTGTTCATTTCTAGAGATTAAATAGCATAATTATCTCTATTTTCTAAAGCACGTTTTCTTTCTGGGAAGAAAACAAAGCTTTCAAAAAGTATGCAGTGCACATAGCATATACATGCTTAAAAATCCACTGACATGCACAAGTAATAATTGGGCAAATTGATACTTTATTCATGTGATACTCAGTTTAAAAATAATTTTAAATTTTGGCTTAAAAACTGTACTGGGGCACGGAATAGAGCAGAAATACCTCTTCAGAAATTCCAGATAATTTCCCAGGTCAGTATTTTCATAAACTAGTGAGTGCTTTTACAAAATTATACTTTATCTTTCTACTGAGTATTTCATTCCTAGAGAAATTTTACCTTGAAATTTTCTTCTTTCTCAAGAAATGAAAAGGAGAAAATTCATCCAGAGTGACGAGAGTGTTCTCAAAATATGAAATTCTCCATCAGTGCAGAGATAAAATTAAACTAATTTCTATTTAAACAGATGGATGCAGGCGCATGTATAGAATGGAAAAGAGATCCCCACCAGGAATCAGATGCTTGTGGCAAAATATATTTTTGGAATTTTCCAGTTTGTTCTATTCTTCCAAAACCCAGCCCTGCTTGGACTATGTGACACAGATGGAGAGACTTTGAAGCTTCATATGACAGTGGATCTGGTACAAAGAAATATGGACTACATGGACTATAGGCTCTTTCTAAGGCTTTTGACTGGTTTGAGACCTCTACGATTCTCTCTCCCTTTCTCTCTATGTGTCAAAGACACAGATACACACACACACACACACACACACACACACACACACAGAGAGAGAGAGAGAGAGAGAGAGAGAGAGAGAGAGAGAGAGAGAGAGAGAGAGAGAGACTGAGAGACTGAGAGGAATAACAATGCTGGAAGCAATGTCAGGTCCTTGCGTTCTGCTCCCATCTTTAGCCACCACATGAGTTTGAGGTGGAGTTCAGTAGAAGCATTTACAGAAGACAAGACCTGAGTTACAGGCTAGGTAAGGTCAGAAAGAGTCAGCATGGAGAGCATGCTTATTCCTCTTCCTGGATTCCTGGTACTGAAGGAAAAGTGGAGGTGTAGCATCTGAGATCCAAGAAGCAATGTCTTTCAATCTCATAGCTTCAACTGTAGCTGATGTAATACAAATTTCCACATGCTATATGCTCTCTTCATACATGACTTTCTCTTGTTAATTTCAGACTGAGATCTCTACCTTGCATACTCAACAACTTCTTTTGGCTCTCTTAAACACTTCGAATTCAACATATTGAAAAACTGAGTTTATAATTTCTCCCCCTTTGTCATTATTTATATTTTAGTAGCATCATTCCTGAGATCAGTAAGAGTGATATCTCCACCTGGAAGTTTAATAGGCATCTTAGACTTAACAAGGACAATAGGAACTCACATCTTCATGGTTGGAAGCAGCCTTGTACAACCAGTATCTACCATAAATGCAGCAAGCAAAGTGGAAATAAACTGATATTGTCTCTTTGCATTATTGTTTGCTTTTCAGAATGCTTTTGGAATGAATAAAGTTTCTACTCTTGTAAAACTATTAGTTTCTGAAAGTATCCCTTATTCCTTTCCCATACCATATTTAATGTGCTGTTCAATAAATAAGGAGAAAAGCCCTTTGTGAGGGACAGACCAAGGAATATATGCAACTCACAGAAATCAGACACACACACACACACACACACCAGACAGACAACAGATAAGCTAGTAACTGTTAAACTACAGACAGAAGACAAAGGGAGAGAAATAGAGAATTCAATTTGAGCTCACTCTTGGTTAAAATAATCTGAGGAGAAGTGACTATGTTTTTATTCCTTAATGCAACATGGAAGCATTTTTGTGCCCTTGATGTTAATGCATTAACTGATGCAACCAATGACCTTGTAAACATCTCATGCTACAGGAATGATCTACTTTCAGTGATAAGCTGAAGAGAATTTTGAATTCATATTTCCCCAAAGCATCCCATAATATCCAGAATGAAATCAAAACTCCATCCTCTGGCTCACAGAACTCTACTAATTTGGTCCTCTCTATTCCTTGAAGTATATCATATGGCAGTCTTCATTCACCTACCTTGTAGGGACACAGGGCCCCTCTTTGATCCTAAAGATGACAAATAACTTAGAGGACCCCTAGTAAAAGTGTTTTTTAAAAATCAATAGATTTTGTGGCTGAATGGGATTACATTGTATATAGACACCACATTTTCTTCACCCTCTGAGCCTTCTCAATAGCTTCTATGCAGCACATTTTCTGTATTTATTAATCATTGAATGGTACCTAAGATGATTCTCTATATCTTAGCTAATATAAATAGTGTTGTAATAAAAAGGCATGCAAGTATCTCTTGGTTATGATAATTTCATTTCCTTTGCTTAGATATATAATATAAGATGATATAATACAAAATGATAAAGCTAGAAGTGGGATTGCTGTGTCAAGTATCTCTTTGTAGTTTTAATGAAAAACTTTCATTCTATTTTTCATAAGAACCATTTGCCAACATTTGAGAAATCCTCTTATTTTCAGCAAATGGGTAAGACAGGAGAATACCATGTTAAGTAAAATAAGCAAGGCACAGAAAGATATGAACCATATGTTCTTCATATTTAGAAGCTAAATAAAGCTGACCCAGACTTAGAATATTGATTCCTTGAGTTTGAGGAGTATGGGGAGCGAGAGTATATAGAAGAAGGCTAGATTTCATGATAGGTATGCTGTATGCATTTGTTGAACCATCACAGAGAAAATTATTAATAACATAACTAATACATGTTGATGAAGGTAGGAAAACTACCACAAATTTAATAGACTGATGATTAGAAAATTTTATAGAAAAATTTAGCAGAAAGTAGTTTCCATAGCCTGCCCACAATTTTTCCTATTGCTAACATCTTACATTCATATCATACATATGTTAGGTTGATGAACCAATGTTGCTATGTTGTTAACAAAAATCCAAAATTCACACTAGGGTCATTCTTTGTGTTCATTCCTGAGTGTAGACAAGTGTATTATAACATGTGCTTATTGCCTGTTTGTTCTCTTTCTTTAGATAGAACAGCACCATACAGAACAGTTCACTGCCCTAAAAATCTCTTCTAGTCCCTTGATTCAACTTCTTACCCCATAAGCCTCTGAAAGCCACTGCTCATTTTATCCTGTCTGTAGTTTTGGCTTTTCAGGGATTCTATGCAGTTGAAATCAAAGGATGTATCATTTTAAGATTTTTTTTCACTTACCAAAATAAATGTAAGGCTCTCTAATTTCATTTGGTGGCCTGACTTATAGCTCATTTATTCTTGTCACTAAATATTATTCCACTGTATCCATTCACCCACTGAAGGGCATCATTTTTCTTTCACAGTTTGGTTGTTATGAATAAAGCTACTATGGATATAAATGTCAACTCATTTTGAAAAGTAACAGGGAACTTGTATTATATGCTGATTATTTTTAGTGTTACAGGAAACTTTCAATGTCTGTCAAAGTGGCTGTACTATTTTGCATTTTTACCAGCAATGAAAAAGTGCTTTTGTTAGCCTTTGTCCTTCTTAGCACTTGGAGTTGTCAGTATTTTGGATTTTAACTACCCTAATAGCTGTATAGTCTCTTTTATTTTGTAATTCTCTGATGAAATCTATTGAGTATTTCCCCATATCTTATTTGTAACTTGTGCATCTTTTACCTGTTGTTTTATTTCTTTCATTGAAGTTAGCTGTAAGAATTCTTTATATAATTTGGTTACAAGTTTCATATTTCTGCATGTTTGTGGCATGTCTTTTATTTATCATAGCACTTTGACAGAACAGAAGTTTTTAATTTTTGTCAACACTTGGTTTTTCTCGTGTGTTAGAGGTTTATACTTTTGTAGTTTATATTTGGGTTTGAGTCCCACTGAAATTAATTTTACGACATGTGTAAATACATGTCTGCATTTTCTGCATGTGAATGTCTGATAGTTTCAGCACCGTCAACTGGAAAATGGTACTCTTTATCTTTGTTCCTCGGTTCGTTCTATTTTTATGAGTCGATTTCTGGATTCTCTGTTCCATTCTACTGATTCTTTTTCTAGTATTTTGCCAAAACTTCACAGCCTTGAGGTTAACTACCATAAGCCCTCAAACTTCATCCTCTACAGCCAATTAATGACCACTGAGAGACAGATAATCCATGAGTATGCATTGAATATATACACTATTATGAGTGCTTTCATGGATTTGGGGGACACAACAGAGAAGAAACCAAACAAACCCATTCTGGAGCTCATATTATGAGGATAGGTTGTAGGTATCAGATAACAAACCAGATTATATAGTAAAGATGCTATGTGTTTGACAGTGATGTATGAGATGAGAAAAAGGTGAGTAGGATTAGGGTAGAAGAGGGGAGATCACTATTTGATGGAACAGTGAAAGGAAAGGGACAGGTGAATCAAAACGGAAGGCTTGTGGGTAGAGGGGTGTGTTCCAGTATATATGATAGAGGCTGCTGAGAAGTAACCCAGACTGGGCGCAGACGTAGTAGTGAGAAGTGGAAAGGAGCAGAAGTGAGGCAGCAGAAGTGCCAGGACATGTAAACCACTCTGTCATCAGAGTGAAATGGGGGAGTATTGGCTGATACTTTCAATATGCTATACAAACAAGTCTTAGTCCCAATACCTGTTACAAGCTTACTGAAAAACAAAATATTTAAATTAATACTTATTGGCCCTTGTAGTATAATGTGATACTTTTGTTTTCTAGACCAAAGATAGAGAAATGCTCTCCCTGGATCAACACAAAGAAACATTTGTTCTCTTATCAATAGTGGTTCTAGGACAAGTGCTACCATCTACAGAAATGGTTCAGGGATAAGTGCTTGGTCTGCAATCATGAAGATTTGAGTTCCGATCACTACAATCATGCAAAAAGTCAGGTGTGACCATGTGTGCCTGTAACTAAGTCCTGGAGACAGAGCGTGGAAGGCAGGACCTTAGTGGGCTGCTGTGCAAACAGTTTAGCCACTACACAGCTCCAGATTCAGGGACTGACCCTGGCTCAAAAGATTAAGTTAGAGGATGAAAGAGAATTCTCAATGTTCTTCTCTAGCCTCCTCATATGTGCACCTTGGAGTGGGAACTCACACACACACATGTCCATATGTACATAACACATACACACACACACACACACACACACACACACACACACACCTTCACCTTCTAGACAACATTTGGCCCAAGGAAAGAAGGAAGAAATAGTTATCTAGAATTAACAAAAAAAATATCAAGGAGCCCAGAGCCTATAGGGAAAAGAGTGGAGGAATAAGACACCCAACCTGGAACATGGTGTGTACTAAGCATTAATGCGTATTAGATTCCAAAATGAAGTCGTAGAATGGGATTGTCAGTTTGAAGTCTGCATCCTTCCAAACAAGGACAGCAGCACACCTGCTTTTCCCTGACCTCACACCTTCCACTGGTACATGCTGTTTTGCACACACTTATTTCAAGGCCTCTTCCCTTCTTCTCCTCTTGGATAGAGTACAGTAATATACCACTTTGGGCATTGCTTTGCAATTAACACTGCATTTCCTCTTTTACCATATTGTCCTCTTGCTAATTCTCAACACACCACCTAATACAAAATAAATAATCAAGAAGTGTTTGCTGAGTAATTGAAACTCACAGGGACCCAACATCACCTACGCACAGATTTTGAGCTTCTTGGTACTTTTATTGCCACTTGTCATCTTCTGTAAAAGTGCTGGCTGGCACATGCTGTTTTAATCAATGTGAATTACATTCTGTTTTTATGGATGTGCTTTTTCACATTCCTCTGGGTATGCAATTTATCAAGCATGAGTAATATCTGGCATAGGGTGTCTCTAATGGCTTCCTTTTATGATTAGATCAATGAGTGTCTGAATTAAGAAAGGAAGTATCTGTGAAGAGAATGCCTCCAAACTCCTTGGAAATGGTGCTGAGAAGAAAACATGGCCACCTGAAAAAATTAACAATGAAATTGCTTCAGGGCACTCGAATCCTTATTCATGGAAACTTGGAAGCATTTTAGAAGTTTTTCAGCAACCAGTGATGTGGTAACTGACTTGCTCTCTGAATACTGAACGCATTTATGCATTTTCTTTAGTGTTTAACATATTTTGAAGGACACATTAAGCAAAAAAACTAACTGTCACAAACCAGTTCTTTCTTTTGCCACTCCGTCTCCACAAGCCCATGAGTCCCTCTGCAATATCCAACCTAACTATAGCTATTTCGCCCAACTTTCCAAATTCTGTCTTGGTGTGGAGGTCAGAGGACATCTTGTATAAGTATGCTCTATCCTTTTGCCATGTTGGTCTTATGTATTAAACTGTGGTCATCATGCTTGGAGGCAGGTATCTTTACTGAGAGTCGTCTTCCAGCCCAAGTGTTCTTTTTAATACAAAGTGTTTGCCTTAGTGTTTTCTATTGCTGTGATAAAATACTATGACTAAGGCAATTTACAAAAGAAAGCATTTAATTTAGTTTAATATTCTAGAGGGTTAGAG